GGCTCGGCCCGTGCTCCAACTTAGGGTTGTGTAAAAAATAATAACTTAAAAAATTATTCGTGTTCAATGAAATATAAAAAAGTGTAAATATGGTTTAATATACTTGTTTGTATGAACAATAATAGAATAAATCATCATCATTATCATTACAGCGATTCACAAGTCCACTGCTGAACATAGGCCTCCCCCGCGGAATGCCACAAAGCACGGTCCTGAGCTACTTGCATCCATCGACTTCCTGCATGTCTTACCAGGTCGTCACTCCATCTACTGGGGAACGCCCTACACTTCTCCTGCCGGTACGCGGCTGCCACTCGAGAACCTTTCTTCCCCATGGGTTGTCGGTTCTGCGAGCTATATGGCTGACGCATTGCCACTTCAGCATACTAATTCTTTGAGCTATGTCGGTTACTCTGGTTCAACTGCAGATATCCTCGTTTTTAAGTCTATCACGCAGAGAAACGCCGAGCATTGCCCTTTCCAAAGCTCGCTGAGCGACTTTGAGCTTCCTCATACCGCCAGCAGTGAAGGACCACGTCTCAGATCCATAGGTCATCACTGGCAATACGCACTGGTCGAACAATATAGTTTTGAGGTTCTGATGTGTCTAACGAGAAGATATGTCGTAATCTCCCGAACGCTGCCCAGCCGAGTTGAATTCGTCGAATGACCTCTTCGTCGAAGTTGGACTTACCTAGTCGGACTATTTGTCCCAGGTAAACATACTCGTCAACAACTTCGAGCTTAGTGCTACTAACAACTACCGGCATAGGTGTGACATGGACATTAAACATGATCTTTGTTTTGTCCATGTTCATCTTAAGACCTATTCGTTTGGAGACACTATTGAGGTCATTGAGCATGGTGCTTAGGTCCTCCAGCGATTCTGCCATAAGGACTATATCGTCAGCAAATCGAAGGTGAGTGATGTACTCGCCACTGATGTTAATACCGTATCCTTTCCAGTCCAGAAGCTTGAAAACGTCTTCCAATGCAGCGGTGAAGAGTTTCGGGGATATAACATCACGCTGTCTTACACCTCTCTGCAATTGGATAGGTTTCGTACTCTGGTTCTGTACTTGGATAGCCATTGTAGCCCTACTGTACAAGCACTTCAGCACTTCGATATACCGACAGTCAACTTGGCACCGCTGAAGGGACTGCAGCACCGCCAAAATTTCGACGGAATCAAAGGCTTTCTCATAGTCCACATGCGCCAGACATAGTGGAAAATTATAACTTACTAAAGCCCTTTCGGAAACCGGCTTGTTCGGAAGGCTGGAAGTCGTCAAGTCTGCGCGCGAGACGATTCGTAATGACTCTCGAAAACAGCGGCTCAGAAGGGAAATCGGTCTGTAGTTCTTCAAGAGAGCGTAGTCACCTTTCTTGAAGAACAAGACCACTGCACTTCTGCTCCACGCCTCCGGTGTAATGCCATCATGGAAGACGGAATTAAAGAGCTTCTGAAGGACTTCAAATACCTCGCTAAGGTGCTGTAAAGCCATTCTGATCTCGCTCAGACTAACGTCCGGGATATCATAGGAATAGTGTCGGATAAGACTTGCTCTTGAATCGTTACTCACACTTGCGTGTGGCTCCAAAGATGACATGTACAGCACATACTCGTACAGCCCATAGAACCTCTCAATCTCACTCAAAATCTCAGGTGTCTCGAAATCGATGCTGTCACATTCAGTCTTCAGCTTCGACAGTTGGCACTTTCTGGCAGACAGATCTCTGGCAAAGACTTTGGAGCCCTGTTTCCGCTCGATTGCTTCTTCAATACGAGCTGTTTTAAAGTTGCGTAAGTCCCGCCGCATGCGTTTTGAGATCTGTCTGTTCAGTCGCCTGTATGCTGTATCAAATCTACTGAAGACTGCAACTTCATATCCCGTCTAACAGCCATGAGATTAAGAGTATGATCGGAGAGTTTTTATGTTTTTCCGTGGCGGGTTTTGCAAAACTTAGCTCTAACCGCATGGACAGTTTCCACGAGCTTGTCATTTATATCGTCCACTGCACTGAAATCTTCTAGGCACTGAAAACGATTTTGTAACTCGAGCTGAAAGGTTTCGGGACTTTGGATTAGAGCACGAGGGGGATGGAGCGTTGACTTCATTAGACGTGACCTTTTCAACTTAACGTTTAGGTTCAGTATGCCTTTAACCATTCAGTGATCGCTACCAGTTTTCACCCTCGCGATCACTGAGACATCACTGAACAGTTGTCGTCTGGTCGTCATAATGAAATCAATCTAATTTTTGTCGAACGTCGGGGCTCGACCAGGTCCACTGCCTGTAGGGCCACTTCTCAGAAGAAAGAGTTCATCATAAAGAGTCCCTCTTTCACCATGAAGTCAACTAGCTGCTAGCTTATACAGTGGTAGAGCCACGCGGCAGCTCTTACTGTCGCACGGATGGGCCGGCTCGAACCGGGGTGGTACCACGACCTCACAGAAAACCAGCGTGAAGTAGCGGTTTACCTCTGCGTTTCGCTTGGTGAGTGCAGGTGGCCGGAGGCCCTTTTTACTGGAAATGAGGCATTCCATCTTAGTCCTCACGGGTGACAACGCATCTACATTTTGATTTGTAATAGAGGATAGATGTAGATATCTATGGGCCGCAGCAACCACTTACCATCAGGTGGACTGTGTGCTCGTTTGTCACCCTTATCATATAAAAAAAGCTCCTTGGGTTCCGTTGCCCTATTCCGAATTTCCCTTCTTTCAGCTCACCGTTCTCTCTTGTGCCTAGTTTTGCGTTGAAGTCTCCCAGTAACACCGTATAGTGGGTTTTGGAGGAATGCATGGCTCTAGAGATATTCTCATACATTTCCTCCACCTCCTCAATGGGTGTGCCAAGGTTGGTGCGTAAACCTGTATGACCTTCCGAGAATACCGTTTGGTTATTCTAAGTATAAGTTACGCAACCCTCGTCGACACACTCCCAATATTTACAACGTTGTTAACGAGAGACTCGTGGACGATAAATCCGACACGTCCTTGGGACAGATGGTCGCCCTCCCGGTGATAGAACAAGTTGCCGGATTCGATGATTACCGTGTCCTCCCCTTCTCTTCGTACCTCGGATAATCCTATAATATTCTAGCGCAACTTGTCTATCTCTTCTTCCAGCTCCAAGATCTTCTCGTCAGTCGTCAGGGTGCGTGCGTAATAAGTTGCCAGGTCGAGTCGTCGTAGGTGGCAACCGAACCTCTACCGGAGATTCTTAGCACCCCCTGCCCCGCCGTTACCATGGTCGCCACCGTAGCCAGGAATAGACAGGAATAGCGGGGCCCTTTATTAATGTCATTACTCAGGGGGGGGGGGGGGTTATACTGCCATAGTTACATATATACCTATAGTTACACATAGACCGTAAAATATTTATTTGGAAATGCTTTTCCAACGCTCAGCTTGTCGACAAATGACCATGCTTGTTCGAGTTGCAGTCAATGTAAGAATTTATCTGAAATAAATGTATGAATTGCTTGAGCAAATATTTCGCAAATATTTTCATCTCGAAAGAAACATTGTGGTTATGAAATATTGAAACGTTTGCAAGATTGTACATATTTGTTGTGTCATGTGATTGATTTCCAATAGATTATTTAAAAAAAAACGACGTTAGATTTAGAATTTACCATTTAATTAAAAGGCGCAACAAATTTTTGTGGAACGAAAATCATAAAAATAAAATGTTTAAAATAATTAAAGTTGATAAACGTTTTGTTATTTAATTTTATCCTCCTGCGCCAACCCTACAAAAATATTTTTCGACAGCTCCTTAGAAGCTTTGCCTCTGTACGGTTTCTTTACTCATGTACCTAATCCCCACATATAACGGATTCATAAAATCTTATTAATAAACATACCTCAACATACTTTAAGACCAGGAATAGCGTTTGAGCTGTTTTGATACCAAGCAATAAGGTCTATATTTAAACATAATATACACTAATCCAAGGGTTCCTGGTCGTAAAACTACTATGTGCTTATCAATAAGGAGGTAAGTGTATACGGTATTTGACATCTAATTAGTCCGGGCTCCCTTTAGTTTTTAATCATCGGTTACTGGCCTGATGTACGGAGACTGAACTTACAGTATCTTTACGTCTTATATATATGCTTGGCCTTAAAATTTATTTTATTGTCGTAGTTGAACTGCCATCATCTGTGGATAGTTTTACGATACTGAGAAGATGGCAGCTTCAGTCACATCTATTGAAATTACGATGTCTTTTTTTATTTTTGATTATGCTTTGAAGAAATCGGTTATCAGTTAACGAATATACGTCGCTTTCGTTATTAATCGCTGGCAACTTGCATTAATTAAACACTGATGATATTATCAAAAAATGACCTAAATGGTTATTTCTTATAACTTGGTTACTTCTTATAAATCTATGTCAGGATCGCGCCAAATGGAAGTCCGTAGTCTCTGCCTACCCCGCTGGGTGACAGGCGTGAGTGTTTATGTATGTATGTATGTTTTACAAAAATGAAATATAAATCGACCAACTAACCACGGACCGCGGAGATATGGTGTTATTTAACTACACTGTTTTTATTTAATTACCTTGTGTAGTGTAGTGTAGTGACAGTGTAAGTATATCCACTACCTCATATTATACCTTGGGTGTCGTAGAAGGCGACAGAGGGAAATTGGACCAGGTGATGTGCGGCAGCATTGTCTACATCTTACAACTCAAAATAATTAAAAACTGGGGTTGCCAATCCGCCTGCCAAGCGTGCCAACTTTGGCAAAATCCCCTTATGGGGCAATCTATGGGAGAGGCCTATGTTTAGGATGTAATGAACTTCATTAAAATACACACACTACGGAACTCATATTGGTCTGATAGAGTCGGTTAATAAAGGTACAAGGTAAATTACTACTGCATTTTATCTGTGTTAATCAAAATTCGCACCCTGGGTTTATCATGAAGTTAAAATAAATAAAAAACCACCAAGCATTCAAAAAAATATATTTATTCATGCATTAAGAAGGCAAAGCGTCTCTTTTATTGGGATCGCAACAAGGAATACTAGGTTCAGTATGCGGACAACTAAAGGCAACATCTTCTTCTTTGTACGAAGGACAGGGATCGTGTTCTCCTGTCAGGGGCTTCAAACAATTTTCAACTGGAGGTGACTCTTCTCGAGGAAATTCGGCCACTCGTTCTGCCTCCGGCGATATTCTCGGTATCTGCTGCCGTAACGTCTTAACGCGTTCGTATGCGTCCTTTGGCAAACGCATGTAGTCGGATACCTACACATTACAAATGTTATGTAAATACGCATGTATTATAAGCGTGAGCGTTCGTAGATGAAATAGTAGTAGCAGCAACAGAAATAAGGACAACTGTGTCTAACTGTTAGTGTCCAAAACGACGCATATTTGTGGGTTTTTTTTTAAATAAATTAATACTATGAACACTATAAACATTACTAGCATACCCGTTAAACACTTCAAGTAAGCTTAAAATGCTTGTGTTAGCAATGGTTCAAAACAGTATCCGACTGGCGTATTCGAACTCACTTCATTCGAATTTGTTGTCCGCACCCTTAACTATTAGGCTACTGTCGTTTTTTAATTTATCATATCTTACTATCTATGGACCATAAGAGTGACACTTTGGGGCGGACCACGAAGAAAGCGGAGCAGTAGACACATGGAATATCTCTTAGAGATTCCCGCGTCACGGTTCTCGTGTCGTCATCTTATTTATGCTTCATATATAAACCGTACTGTCCCCGTGGCTGTATTTACGCAGGTTCTCCAAAATTAATATGGATTATTTCATGAATGACGCATCTAAACTTAACTTAAGCTCGTAAGGTAAGTTAACAATATAATATTTTTGCGATACTATGCTCATGCTTCAGTGTATTAAGGTTTGTTTGAGGCTTTCTCTTGCACTGTTGTGTAAAGATGGCTATGACTAGACGGAATCAAGATTTCTTACATTATATTCATAGAGATTATTTACGAGAAGAACTGGACTGTCTTTAATGCGGCAAGGAATACATGCAATCAGATGGTACGTGCTACTAAACAACGGTATTTTTATAGTAATATTATTAACTCTTCATCCGCTGATGTGTGGAAATTCCTTTAATCTTTTGGGAATAGGCCACATCACTACCAATCTTAGTATTTTCAATTACCAATCTTATACTAACTAATCAGTTCCTTCCAAACTCTATTCTACCATTTCTGTTCAAGGATCTAACCACAGCACAACTAATGTCCTAATCAAGGTTAGCAATGATATACGGCGAGGTAAGAATAAAAGTAGAAACTGATGATATTCGACAAGGTCCATACCTAATCTCCATACGTAAAGTACTAACTCTCTAACTCTGTAATGCGAGTGGATTTTTCGAAAGATTTTAACACAGTCCATCACGGTGTCCTAATTTATATGCGGACAATTTGCAGTAATATAAACATCTGGTATTAATGATCTTCATGGTGTGATATAAAAATTAAAAGATAATATAAAATTAAATATTAGTCTCCACCAAGTTATATTCGTTGGTAGTTCGAGGAAGGTGGCTAAAGTTGATACTATCAATTTACCTTTCCCTTTATCCTTATTATCATAATAATACCATAGAGCTACGTACTATATTTTTGTTTTCTATGTATTATATATTGATTAACTTTGATTGATTTAGTTTTATTAAGTTCGCCCTTTATATTCCTTACTTTTGTTAAGGTTTCCAACGAAGGATTAAAAAGCCATCATCACATTTCGTCCTATGCATTTCGGTGAAGAGACAACTATAGCAAACACCAGGAAGATATTTAGACTACCGACACACGGCGGCTCAAACTTAAAATACCCTTCCAAGCCGGTGACGGATAGCAGTGTCAAAGTTGCGAGATGGCTAGTACTGCGTTCGTCCATCCGTGCGCCAAGCGTGACGATTAAGGCAAGTCGTCCCTAAAACTGGAATGGCCCACGTCTAGTGGTCTCTTAGGACTAGCGAAGAAGATACAACATAATAGATAAGTTCGGACAAATTAATTTGTTCCATTCTCACTAATCTGCAAACTATATAGGAAAGTCCAACAAAGCAATATGGCTTCCTGAGTAACAGTCAAAACAACATTAAATGAGACGTATCGAAAATATCGCTTAAGCAAAAAAGAGCCGAATAGGATCGAACGTAATATATGTGGAAAGCGAGATTCAAAAGAGAAATTATTTTGCTATTTTCGTTTCTGGTTTCTAAACTTAGGTTAGAAAGCGGTCAAAAAAAACTTAGATGTAGTGTCAATAACACAAAACCAATCATAAAACACCTAGAGCCTAAAATGAACAATGAGTTTTTGCACAATGTATTTTTCTTTTATTGCTCAGTTATTATTAAAAAAATCTTGCGTTTTAGTTTCTTAATATATTCTTTTACGACACTCATAGGACGATAATATGAGATATCTTTATATAATAAGGGTGACAAACGAAAACACAGTCCACCTGATGGTGAGTGGATGCTCTGGCCCATGGACATCTACATCTATCTTCGATTAAGAATGAAAATGCAGATGCGTTGTGACCCCCAAGGAATAAGATGGAATGCCTCGTTTCCAGTGAAAAGGGTCTGTCTCCGGCTCTCTGCAATCGCCATACTAAACACAGCAGCATTTAGCTGGTATTTTCCGCTGGTATTCAGTGAGAGCGTGGTCCGCCTTCCCCGGTCAAGCCAACACATTCGTACTACAACCATAATATAGCTGCACCGTGGCTCTATCACGTATAAAAACAGTAATAGCTTATATAACGTCGCTACTACACGTATATAAAATTTTACACAACATTATAAACTTACATGAGACGTTTGATGCAAAACTCTTAACTTACAATTTTACAAATACATTGATCGCCATTCTTATATTGTGTAATTTTAAGATATCTTTATCTTTTTTTTATAAAAGAGAGGGCAAACGAGCATGCAGCTCACCTGATGGTAAGTGATTGCCGCCGGCCATGAACAACCGCAACACCAAGGGAATTGCAGATGCGTTGCCGGCCTTTCAGAAAGGTGTAAGCTCTTTTCTTGAATGTCCCTAAGTTACGTCACTTTATCGTTAAAAGTTCAGCTATTTCCACATTATAACATAAAATATGAATTATGATTGACAAGATTAGTTTTTGCCACACTTACTTATTGTCGCTCTGGCTATAAACTGAACCCACATAGATTTTAATATTCTAAAACATAATTAAACAATTTTTTTAAAACGTTACCTCCACACTAGGATTTGCTCCTGTATTGTGGGGTTTACAGGAGAAAATTAGTTTACATTTATAAATTTTACAAGGACAAACATCCAGACCCGGGACAATTATTTGTAGGCCATACAAATATTTGTTCCGTGTCTGGATGGCCCTTAGCGCTGCAACTCATTGCGAAGCCGTCTGTCAAATTAAAAGAGGAGAGCATAATTTTAAAACATTTCTTATTATTTTAAACATACCAGATTTAAATAATTCAAATTGTTTAAATGGACGACATCTGCAAACTAGGAACGTAATGAACTATGAAAAATAAGACTGAATAATGAATAAGATCCTATCCCTCAGTAACACAAGCATTACGACTTTACTTTATATATTAACTTACATCTTTGCAGTCAACACCATACGTGCCAAGAAACCCTGGAAGGTGAGGCTCGTCACTATCTTCTGTATCATTGCCGAGCATTCGTGCACTGGGTGAGATTTCATAGGGACATTCATTTCTTGCTCGTCGATCAGCCCTTTCTGCTGCACCCTGTACACAAATTTAGGATCAGACTATAAACTTCTAACTGCTCGCATTGCGAGGCTACGGTATACCGTATTTACTTTATTTTACACAATATCATAACATATCCAGCGGTGAAAGAAAATATGTGTGCCAAGCCGTGGAAAAAATCGATACATAAAGAAAATTATGTCATGCTGATTTTGAAACTGTTCCGATACTGATCTTTTCTAAACCTTAATTTGCTATTCAGAGGTCTTAAAAATAAGATATAGTAATTTTATCAATACGGCATGAAGTTAATTGGCCATTGTTTCACCTGCAATTATCAATACGTCATGAAATTAATTGGTTATTATTTTACCTGCAAATCACGTAATAAACTAGGTCGAATGAATTCATGGCAACATCTAGTAATTTAAAAACAATGCTTTATTGCTTGTCAAGTTATTAATGGTTACGTTTCAGTTTTGTTTATAAAATACGCTAATATATTTGCTTAATTTCTAAACTAACAGACAAAAACAATTACGTTAATCATTTATTTGCTTCTAGTGTCTCTAAATTTTTGACTATTTTTAAATATAAACCAGTATGTTAGAGATTACTCAGTCAAATTGTAAATAACTACGAAACGATACAAAGGCCTGACTAATTATTGATTGAATTCACCATAAATTCAAAACAAAATACGCGGAAAGCAATGTTTGTATTTGGTTAATCTTAATTATTAATCTATTAATCCCGTGTAGTGGCGGTGTAAGAATATCCACTACCTCATATCATCCCGTGGGTGTCGTAAGAGGCGACAGAGGGAAACAAATCAGGAGATGGACAGCAGCGTCTTCCTAATAACAACTAAAAATAAAAAATAAACTGCGGTTGCTAATCCGCTTGCGTAGCGTGGCAACTATGGCAAATATCCCCTCTATGAGGCAATTTATAGGGGAGGCCTATGTTCAGCAGGGGACTTTAATAGACTGTAACGGTAACGGCACAGGTAACGGTAGCGGTAATATATTAATATATTAATTCATTTAATGCGATATTTCTCAGTACGCCCGGGCTTGACCCCTGTCAACATAAATTAAATTGTTACGAGTAACTGCAATTTTAAGTGCTAATCTACTTCGTGCTCGTCGGTGAGGTAAACCTTTGGAAATCTACATGTCTGAAGAATAAAATATCGAGGGCTTGCGAAATCGCGGAAGGAAAATGCTCTCACAGAATACCAGCGAAATATAGCAGCTAAATGCTGCTGTGTTTCGTATGGTGAGTGTAGAGAACCGGAGACCCTTTTCACATACTTAGTGCATCGCTCCATATTATTTTATTGCTCAGAAAAAAGATAAGGCCTGTGCCCAGCCGTGAGGTGTATAAAGGCTGAAATATTACTGTATTTTACTATTACTTCAACATAAATGATATATCATATATCTTAAAAATATGTCATTAAATACTTGCCATTTAAGTACATTAAATCGCATGACAACATTTATAACAATCAATAAAAAAGTACAAAAGCTAAGCTGGGCTCTGAATGAATTAAATACTATATATAATAAAATATAATATAACTACCAATTTTACGTACTTTAATTAAATTTATTCAGTGTATTCGCGTAAATATTAGAAAACTTTGAATAGAGATCTTGTGTTCCATTGTGCCAAAAACTACACAAAAGAAATGTGCTTTGCATTAATAGAGAAATATATTTTACCTAATAAAATTACGTGTAGCCCCAAACTCCATTTTTGTCTGAATTATTAATAATTTAAAGCGCTTATGAGTTCAACACTACACTTAAGTTATTAATAAATAATTGGATGGTTATTACTTTAATATAAAATTTATTCCAAGCTGTGGTTTTACCCACTAAATATATGTAATTTTATATATTGTATTAGATATTCAAGATATTTGCATAACGTACGAAACTTTAGTGTACGCGATTAACGGTTAATTATGTACCGGATCTTAATAACAACCTACCGGATCTTTGTATTTTTCGCAGAAGTTCGGATCTTCGTTAAATTGTTGTACACTCGGATAATACTCTGGTACAGACTTATTTCCACGATGTTCTTCAGCTGTAGGCCCACTGAAGCACACTATCTTCTGGTGATCTTCACGTGCTTCGCCAGATTTTAGTATGCCTTTCAGTGGTAATACGTTGTCACATGGCGGTTTGCTATAATATAAATGAAATTTAAGAAATAAAGAGTTTGCTTACCCCATTAACAAAAAAATAAAGATTTGACCTAATTGCCAAGTTTTGCACAACTTGACGATCACAACATCGGACTTTACGTATCTTTATTAGATAGTAAAATCTGATATAGTAAAATTTGTATTAAGAGTTGTCAAGTGCAATTTATATTTGTAAAATGCGAAACAGGAACTTCCGATGAGGGTCAGGTCAGTTCCGAGAAATCAGGTGATAGATAATAATTCATGGTATTCATTGGGTGAGGTCTATGTTTAGCAGTGGTCTGAAATGATGATAACGACTATGCAGATTATATACGTAGAGATATTTTTTACCGCTATCTATCGGCTATATATAAGATTGTTGGCATTTTTAGTGGCTTCTTATGAAAACCGCGAGGTAAAGTGGATGGATGTATTCTCTATGCCACCACCCGACGCCGAACTCTTCATTTACGTTATAAACTTCAAAATATGCATATATAATATAAAAATATCTTGACCAATTTTCCCCTCCCGTATTTTGTAAATTTTTTAAGACTGATAAGGTAGTTTTTTCGTATTTGACATGTTAGTAAAATATATTACGTAATTATTAGACCGTTCAGAGTTATAACTGGCCGGGCCTCGTTGACTATGCGCATTTTATTTCTTTCGCAAGTTTTATTGCCAACATTGAACGGGCAAATCCTTCGTCAAATTAAGATCGCAAACGTAATTACTCTAAGATTGCGAACTAAAATTTTGCAAAGTCTGCTCATGCAAGGCCAGTATCATTAATACCAGTATGATATTACATTATGGTTATGGTATCTTTTCTACGGCATTAGTTCACCGCGTTTCTTTACACTATCGATGAATTGTAGGGATCGTCAATTATAGTTAGATGTATAACTCTGGGCTAAATAATTTTTTCGTTAGCGGATTAGTGGTGCGAATTCATTTATTATAATCACACTTACTCTTAAGAAACGACGTAATAAGCTACTTTAGACTACCCCGGCGACAGGAGTCAGGTAACAAAGGAACCAAAATAATAGATCAGCAAAATCCTCTTCCTGATAACAACTTATAATGCTCACCTCCAACCCCCCTCCCCCAACCTATGAAGTCAATTAAAATGGGACATCTAAGCTCAGTAGTGGCTTTTTGATGGGCTATGATACTGATAATAATGATGCAGATGATGACGGTTGTGTAGATAGTGATGGTGATGTAATGCGCACTAGTATGTAAACTTATACTTTATTATGCTGCAAAAATCGTAAGGCCACCAGCACGCATTGGAGCAGCGATACGGATTCCTTCCTGCTCTAAAAACCTTTTTTAAAATGAGAACATAGCGGTATATATGCTGATACATTATAACATAGCATTAACGAAATTTTTTCATAGATGCCTAGTTTCTCTAATAGTAGCTGCATCTGATCTGATACAGGGGCTATTGAAAAGTGTTACCTGAGTCTAGCAACACGCAAGGAGTCCTCATATGATATGCGATCAGTAGTGGCAGGCGGCGTGGGCGCCCGAGGCGGCGTAGCGCTGCCCTCCACCACGCGTAGATCCGCCAAGCAACGCTCCATCGCATCGGGCTCCGCCACCGCTGCCTGACCGATCTTGGCAAGCTGAGCGCGCGTCTCGCTATCTTGTTGTTCTCTAACTGCTTCCTATTTTTATTTTCAAAGGAATTATTTTTTTTAATTGTTTCAAACATCATCGGCAAAATATAACGAGGCATCAACAGGAAACATGGACTCTGCGATGGCAAACCGCTAAACCTATGGCTAAAACTGAAACGTTCTAAATTAATACAAAACTTATATCGAAACAATATGTATTATATTAACAAGAAGCGGAGATGTTACTAACAAAAGAATTAAGAAAGAAATTAGAAATTATGCCAACAAAAGAACTTAATTAACGCCTATGGCCTCAGTTGCTCTCGAACATCGGAATCATTAATTGCAGTGTTAAAAAAATAAATAATGCTATCTTGAATTATACGTAATAATGTGAAGTAGAAAAGAAGATTATGATGTTTCTCGTTCTATATAATAAAGCAATGTTAACTAATTAATATTTATAATTATGAATAAAAACAAAATAAATATCCATTTGGGATAAAGAACAAAATGTTTAATTTATCACGTTAAATAAAGTAAACCATTTATTCCTTAGAGCTAATATTTGTGTGCTTTGATAATATATATGTAAACATAAAATGATTTGTTTGACTCGCAAATGTCAGAAGAGAAAGAGATACTTAGCTAATAAGAGCTATTTGTTTTTTTCTAATCCATACATATCTTTCTTTTACATCTCCTATAGTCCTAGACAAACTACAATATATAAATATGTGCTACTGTAGCGTGAAACTATTAAATATTTTAGTAGTCATTGAGTTCTGCGGTTATACCTACAGATTTTGAAAATATCGTATAATATTTTACCTCAAGTTCGTCCTTCAGGTTGCCCTCTCGCATATGATAGTTGCGTACGTTGTCGATAACCTCCTGTGGGAATTTCTCGGGATTGGCGTTCATGTATTTATACACGAAAAGATCGCAGCCCACAATCTTGAAACGATGTTTGAACACGGGTATTATTGCTCCTACAACATCAAGTTTATTTTAGATTATATTTATAGTTTTTAATTCAAAAATGGATTCCAGTGTTTATAAATTACTGAAAAGTTTTCAAATATGCCAATTTTATACACTACTAAGATTTAAGACCAAATCTCTTAATATATCGTTGAAGTTTGTAATGTTTAAAGAAGCCAATTAGTGGTTAGCCTATATTAACAAGCGGCTTTGAGTTCTTATCTTTCGCATATATACAAAGTACTCTGTGGTTCTTATCCAGCCGCAACCGACATTTACGCACAAAGACTAGTGTTGTAGTTGCTCTGAAATCATATGAAAGCCTTCCTTCGAACTTATTGCTTAAAAGCGACACGCCCCGGCTTCGTCTGGATGGGATCTATTAATGGGATGTTATTTTAGATTTATGATATTAAAAGTGTTTTTTGAACAATTTTGCGAATTTTTTTGTATAGTGTCCACGTTTTCAGAAAAAAATAAAAGAAAATATTATTCATGTCTTAATGACGTGAAAACAACCCAAGAGAGAACAAACAACATAAGAGAGTTACTTCGATAATACAGATAGGCACTTCAATTTTATTTATATGTATAGTTGCGTTAAAGTGAAAAAGGGTATGTTATATGCTGAACGTGGACGTCTTCTTAGGAATAATAATAATAATAAATAAGGATAGATTACCTCACTTTACTTAATTTACTCCTCCCTCATTTTTTATTACAATCAATTTTTTTCTATACGAAGAAGCATATGACCATGTGCCTGACCTAATATTAAATAACTACCGCCGCCCATGAACAACTGCAACGGCAGGGGAATAAAAGAGTACCAGGTTCTTTTCTTGAACGTCCCTAAGTCATATCTGCCCGGAAAATCTGTGGTGGTAGCCGATTCCACAAAGAACTTGTGCGAGAAAAAACCTCTAGTAAATCACACAGTGGTGTCAGAAACAAATCACATTAACAATCATTAACTAAATCATGATAAACCTTATAATAATACACGACGTTATTACAAACTAAGATCATTTTTATGCTTAGTCGTTGTCGTGAAAGTCAAACTGTTTCCTACATTAAAATATGTAGATTTCACTTTCCTGTATTCTGATGACTTTGATCACCGCAATGGGGATCAGACTCATCAGAAAAAAAAAACATGTATTACGAGGCAGTCAAATGCCTTACTTTACATTACTTAACTTCTATTCGAAACCGTAAGAATTACTGGATTTCATGGGTTTTAATTTTTTTGCCGTGTAGTGGCGGTTAAGAATATCCACTACCCCATATCTTCTCGTGGGTGTCATAAAAGGCGGCAAAGGGAAACAGGCAGGAGATGGGTAGCAGCATCTTCCTGATAACAACAAACTTGCAATAAAAAAACTGCGGCTGCAAACCCGCTCGCCAAGCGTGGCAACTATAAACTATAAATACTACTAACTATAAATAACCCCCTGATATGATGAGAGTAACAAAGAAACGGCCCCCAGTCCCCGGCGGCCCTGCTATTTCTGGCTACGGTGGCGACCATGGTAACGGCGGGGCAGGGGGTGCTAAGAATCTCCGGTGGAGGTTCGGTTGCCATCTAAGACGACTCGACCTGGCAACATACAACGCACGCACCCTGAGGACTGACGAGAAGATCGTGGAGCTGGAAGAAGAGATAGACAAGTTACGCTGGCATATTATAGGATTATCCGAAGTCCGAAGAAAGGGGGAGGACACGGTAATCCTCGAATCCGGCAACTTGCTCTATCACCGAGAGGGCGACCATCTGCCCCAAGGAGGTGTCGGATTTATCGTCCACAAGTCTCTCGTTAACAACGTTGTAAAGATTGAGAGTGTGTCGACGAGGGTTGCGTACCTTATACTCAGAATCACCAAACGGTATTCACTGAAGGTCATACAGGTTTACGCACCAACCTCGGCACACCCCAATGAGGAGGTGGAGGAAATGTATGAGTATATCTCTAGAGCCATGCATTCCTCCAAAACCCAATATACCGTATTAATGGGAGACTTCAATGTAAAACTAGGCACAAGAGAGAACGGTGAGCTGAAAGTAGGGAAATATGGAATAGGGCAACGGAACCCAAGGGGCCAGCAGCTGGCCGACTTCATGGAGAAAGAGGGACTCTTTATGATGAACTCTTTCTTCCAGAAGCGGCCCCACAGGAAGTGGACCTGGTCGAGCCCCGACGGTTCAACAAAAAATTAAATTTGACTTCATTATGACGACGAGACGACAACTGTTCAGTGATGCCTCCGTGATCGCAAGGGTGAAAACTGGTAGCAATCACCGAATGGTTAGAGGCACACTGAACCTAAACGTTAAGTTGGAGAGGTCTCGTCTAATGAAGTCAACGCTCCGTCCCCCTCGTGCTCTGTTCCAAAGTCCCGAAATCTTTCAGCTCGAGTTACAAAACCGTTTTCAGTGCCTATAAGACTGCAATGAAGTGGACAATATGAATGACAAGCTCGTGGAAACTGTCCATGCGGTCGGAGCTAAGTTTTGCAATACCCGCCGCAGAAGAACACAAAAACTCTCCGATCACACTCTCAATCTCATGGCTGTGAGACGGGAGCTGAAGCTACATTCTTTAACAGATTTGACAGCATACAGGCAACTGAACAGACAGATCTCCAAATGCATGCGACGGGACTTGCGCAACTTCAATACAGCTGGTATTGAAGAAGCGATCGAGCGGAACCAAGGCTCCAAAGTCTTTGCCAGAGATCTGTCTGCCATAAAGAGCCAACTGTCAAAGCTGAAGACCGATTGTGGCAACATTGTTTCCGGGGCACCTGAGATTTTGAGTGAGATTGAGAGGTTCTATGGGCAGCTGTACACGTCATCGTTGGAGCCACACGCAAGTATGAGTAACGATCGAAGAGCGAGTCTTATCCGACACTATTCCGAAGATATCCCGGACGTCAGTCTGAGCGAGATTAGAATGGCTTTCCAGCACCTTAAAAACGGCAAGGCCCCAGGCGAGGATGGAATCACAGCGGAGCTTCTGAAAGCGGGTGGAAGACCGGTACTTGAAGTCCTTCAGAAGCTCTTTAATTACGTCCTCCATGGTGGCATTACACCGGAGGCGTGGAGCAGAAGTGCGGTGGTCTTATTCTTCAAGAAAGGTGAAAACGCTCTCTTGAAGAACTACAGAACGATTTCTTTTCTGAGCCGCGTCTATGTGCTGTTTTCGAGAGTCATTACGAATCGTCTCGCGCGCAGACTTGACGACTTCCAGCCTCCCAAACAAGCCGGTTTCCGAAAAGGCTTTAGCACCATAGACCACATACGTACCCTTCGGCAAATTGTACAGAAGTCCGAAGATTACATTTCGCCACAATGTCTAGCGTATGTGGACTATGAAAAAGCCTTTGATTCCGTCGAAATTTGGGCGGTGCTGCAGTCCCTTCAGCGGTGCCAAGTTGACTGTCGGTATATCGAAATGCTGAAGTGTTTGTACAGTAGAGCTACGATGGCTATCCGTGTACAGAACCAGAGTACGAAACCTATCCAATTGCAGAGAGGTGTAAGACATGGTGATGTTATGTCCCCGAAACTCTTCACCGCTGCATTGGAAAACGTTTTCAAGCTCCTGGACTGGAAAGGATACGGTATTAACATAAATGGCGGGTACATACCTTCGATTTGCCGACGATATAGTCCTTATGGCAGAATCGCTGGAGGACCTAAGCACCATGCTCAATGACCTCAATAGTGTCTCCCAACGAATAGGTCTTAGGATGAACATGGACAAAACAAAGATCATGTTTAATGTCCATGTCACACCTATGCCGGTAGTTGTTGGGAGCACTAAGCTCGAAGTTGTTGACGAGTATGTTTACCTGGGACAAATAGTCCGACTAGGTAAGTCCAACTTCGACCGAGAGGTCAATCGACGGATTCAACTCGGCTGGGCAGCGTTCGAGAAACTACGACACATCTTCTCGTCAGACATACCTCAAAACCTTAAAACGAAATTGTACAATCAGTGCGTGTAGCCAGGGATGACTTACGGATCTGAGACGTGGTCCTTCATTGCTGGCCGTATGAGGAAGTGCAAGGTCGCTCAGCGAGCTATGGAGAGGGCTATGCTCAGGGTTTCTTAGCGTGATAAACTCAGAAATGAGGATATCCGCAGTAGAAACAGAGTGACCGACATAGCCCAACGGATTAGTAAGCTGAAGTGGCAGTGGGCCGGCCATATTTCTCGAAGAACCGACAACCGATGGGGAAGAAAGGTTCTTGAGTGGCAGCCTCGTATCGGTAGGCGAAGTGTAGGGCGACCCCCCACGAGATGGAGTAACGACCTGGTAAGGCATGCAGGAAGTCGATGGATGCAGGTGGCTCAGGACCGTGCTTTGTGGCATTCCTTGGGGGAGGCCTATGTTCAGCAGTGAACTTATGAAAGGCTGTAATGATGATGATGAATTTTTTTGCGCAAAACCCTAATTCTTTTTCTAAAATCTATCTGCCAATGAAAGTCTCGTCAAAATCAGTTCAGCCCTTTTGGAGATTAGCCAGAACAAACAGACAGACAGAAAGACAGATAAAAATTTTAAAAATTGTGTTTTTGTTGTATGTTTGTATATATGTATTTCATATATGTATTTATAAAAAGCTGTTATTTTGACATTACAAACAGACACTGCAATACTACCCCAAAGTTGTATTTTGAAATATTCCAAAAAAAGCGTTTGATTTAATCTGCCATTTTTACAGCGTATTTTTGCGTGTCTATGTCAACTCCTTCAGATGTGCCTGCCATTTTTTTTCTTAATTTTTTATCAACTTAGCTGACGGATAGTCATTATTATTGTTTGAATCAAACACTTTTTTTGGGCAAATTTTTGCGACTTACCTGTATGCGCAGTACCAGGTGTACCGAGGTAGGCCAGGCAAACAGTCATATACCTGCTTATTGAGTGGACTGATACTTTTCAACAAAGTTTCATGATGCATCAAAGACTTCATGAAAAATGCGTCATGAGCTCTCGGACTAAGAGAAGATATTTGCTATAACAGCCACGTTTGGCAGGCGGGTAGGCAACTGTTTTTTTTTCCATTTTGCGTTGTTATCAGGAACATGATCATGCCCATTTCCTGTTTAATTTCCCTCCGTCGCCTCTTACGACACCTACGGGATAATATGGGGCTGTGGGATCTCATATGTTGCCTCTACGCTATTATTAGTTATTGCTTATAGTTATTTAAAAAAAATACCTTCACACTAGGATTTTCTCATGTATCATGGGGACAGTTTACATACATAAATCTCAAAAGAACAAACATCCAGATCCGGAACAAATATTTGTATGCCATAAAAATACTTGATTTAGGCGGGATTCGAACCCACGGTGCTTAGCGCTGCTACGCATTGCTATAACGTGTTCCAGGGATGACGTATTCGTTATCCCAGGAACACGTTATAGAACTAAAATACAAAGATAAAAATAAACAACTTATAATTGTAATATTACCTATATAGAACTTATCAGGTGTGTAATATGTTGGAAAATTCGGATCCGAATCGGGCGTCTGAAGCCTCATTGAACTTAAGAATTTTCCTTCTCGTATTCCAGAATTCCGACGTGGAATCTCACCAATCTTGATCGTGCCATCTGCTAGACTGTATGATAGTACGAATTTTCTATCTTTATCCTCCGGATGGATCCAGTCTAACTCACAAAGATAGCGCAGATACTAGAGACAGACACAAAATCATGAAAATGGTGTTGATTAACGTAAACATCATTATTTTATATTTTTTGTAATTCTGATGAACTGGAAACTATTATAAAGGAATAGAAGAATAGAAGAATGGAATAGAATGGAATGGAATAGAATGGAATGTATTTTATTTTTTATTTATTTAAAAGGACAACCAACAAGACGAACACTAATACATGGATATTAAGGTAACATGAATATAAAACTAAAGCTAAGCGTCATCTTAATTATAGGCTGCCACGGCATGCAAATGTGGACTATGCAAATAAAACTTAAATATGTTAGTTAATACTAAGCAAATGAAAACTTAGTATGTAGCATGTATAATAAATGTAGTGTAACAGTCTGGAATAGGATGGAATAGAAGGGAATAGAATGGAATACAATGGAATAGAATGTAATAGAATATAATATAATGGAATAATGGACTGAAATCGAATGTTATGGAATGGAATAGAATAGACTAGAATAATTTTTATACAATATTACTATTATTCTAGTATAGTATAGTAATATCGTAAATATATCACATGTGTAATTCGAAAAAAAACCCTCTATCCTGGGAAGAACCGGCAAGAAACCCAGCGAGACTTTTTTTAAGTATATAGTATAGTATATTTTTTAAGTATTAATGGTTGTACAAACTATTATGAATAATACGACTAACTGCATATACACGGAAAAGTACAGCCGCCAGAACAGCCGCGGGTCCCGTAGTTAGATACAACGCTCCCAGCACCCAAAATGCAGGAATATTTTCCAAGTCGTTTAAATGCGCTCGGCGTATGCGTTATGCACTATTGAAGTGGGGTCGTCGTACTTAACCTTTCCATTAAAGGTTTTAGCGTCTTCTGGATTTGAGAATACACCGCGGGTCATGCGCGCAATGGTTGTAATAGTTCCAACAGAAATTAAGTTAAGAACTAACTGTAAATTCAACCTTAAATACATTGCCTAAAGATGTATTCACAAAGCTACGTATAAATTACAAGTGCACCCAAATGTTCGAGTGGGCGCTCATTCGATAAGGACATTATATGTTGCGGATTGTGTATCTAGTTTTTTGTTAGTGATCGATGGTTGAAATAGGATTTAGCCAATAGTGCTACTTTTAAACATAAAATTATTACACGTACTTATAGTACACATAAACAACATTAATGGTAAACAAGACCATTTAGAAAACTTAACTTAAAAGTTATTTTGCTTGTTACCTTGTTTGCGTTGAGATTGTATTTAATGATGTCTTTGTGAGGTGGCTTAGGCATTAAGCCGAAGCAAGATTGCAGAGTATCCTCGGGCGCACCAATACCAATATGCGGCGGGAACGCCTGTTGAAAGTACTTTATTAATAATATATTATCCCTGCCATTCAATTATCTTCAAAATGATACTGTAATGTATATTAAACGATTTAAATTAAAGGTATAGTGATGTCTTTATGATGATGACCACCCAGATGCCAAGAAGTCTATGTTTTTTAAAAATATTCATGAAAAATCAAATTCATTGTCATTACAAGTAAAACTCCATTTGATAAAAATGCATATTAAATGCTATTTCATGGTGACCTTGGTGTTCTACCAAAAATAACATTACTAAATGTAGTATCATTTATCTCACCTTAGCAATTTCTTTCGTCTTCTCGCGAGGTATCTCTATCCTTGATGGCTGATCAATGTTTAACATTGTTCTGCAAAATAACATATATAATGTATAATTTGTTAGACTTTTAGAAAGTTTTTTCATAAAAGCCCTAGATTTTTGTATATATGTTACGGCTAAAAGCCGAAGTGCGGTTACACCTAATTCTAGCCGGCTAGAACTAGGTGCGGCCAGCAGTAAGTGTAATTTTAAATTTGTAAACATACGGAAATACGTGCGGTTCACCCTAAAACCACAGGCATTTATCTAATTTATAAATTAAATATGATACACCTAAGTTTAACCAATCGTAATAGGCTACACCTAATTCTAGCCGGCTAAAACTAGGTGTAGCCTATTACGGTTGGTGTAACCGCACTTCGACTTTTAGCCGTAACATGTACATATAGCGTTTGAATACTGAAACACCAATTTGTAAGACTCCTAACTCAGTAACATAAAGACCATTTTTATTAATCCTGGTTTTCGTTCCGAATTAAATAAAAGTTTTCACACCTTGCATTATACAAGTTTATTTCGCAATAACCGGCCAAATTTACAAAGAAGGTTCAGAATAAGTAATATAGGCACATGGTTAAGAAAAATTAATTAAAAAAAATCTCAAACATTCTGTCCTTTTTATCTTTTAAAATCAAAATGCGTGGTAATGCATTATTTTAACTGATTTTACTGCACACGCACACATTCGTAAGGGTTGATCGGTGGGCAAAAACGTTGTATATGGTATATGGGCCCATAAATCACATTAAATCTGGGATACTTTCAAATAAAAGTAGAAGCCCCATTTTCAAAAACTGCTACAACTGTATATCATTATTTATATATTAGAACTTAAGTCTAAAATTTGGCTGCTCTTTGAAAAATAACCCTATATACACAACATGTAACAAAAACCCTGTGGTTCCCGTTAAGTACGTTATCAGGATCAGTATTCAAACCTATAGAAATAATTTGTTTTTAAAAAATCGACGATATTTTTTATTTTATTAATATTTTTTTAATTTTATGTAGTTTTATTACCTCTTACTGACACTAGCCGATGTTAAAGCTAAGTAAAGCGGGGTCATTGACAATCCTCTTACTTCCCAGACAATGCAGAGGTAATAAAACCACATACAATTTGCATAAGTATAATTATTTTTTAAATAATATAAAAAAATATTGTTCTTGTTTTTAAAAAAAAAGTTATTTCTATACGTTTGAATAATGATCCTGATAACATACTTAACGGGAACCACAGGGTTTTTGTTACATATTGTATAACGAGAAACAACGTCTCAACATTAATTGATATTTTTCTATATTACTCACTGTATATAGGGCAGTAGTACTTTAAAAATTGTAATGCTTGACTTCTTGCAGGGTTATTATATTATATAACACTAATACACCGAATAAAACTATTTTTACAGATTTTATCGCGTTTAATTAACTTATTTTATATTCCCGACGTTTCGGTTGCTTTCCAGCAACCATGGTCACGGGGGACTAATTAAACGCGATAAAATCCGTAAAAATAGTTTTATTCAATGTGTAGTGTTCGTGTAAATATAAGAAATCATTAACTAATACACCGGTAAAGTAATAAATTAGGGATCAAAAAAATCTTTAAACCAATTCATTTACTAAATTGATTTTTTAAATAATATGATTTTATAAACAATAAAGGTCTATAGGGTGCGACCTATATCATTGTTTGAAAGAGCCATCAAACCCTATATAACTTTCACGGTTTTAATTAATTTATTGGACCTCTTTGGTTCAATATTACCCACATCAATGTTCGCTAGTTTGACATCTAAATTATCAATAAACTCGTCTCTTCTGAATGTCAAACAGTTTGAACTCATTCACTATATAGAATTAATTAAACCATCTGAGCACTTTCCATCACCGGTGATCAATCTTTTCAAAAATGGTTCGGTTTCATTACGTTTCAATAAAGAATCGCAAATGAGTACACGATTCATTAGGTTTCTAGCAGTGAGCTCGTGAGGTACTAAAATATCGAGCTGTTTTGTACAGTCAGGCTGTACTTTAGTCTTTTTTTCAGTTTAGACTTTTTCTAATGGGTTAAAACTGTTTTGTGGTCAATTCTCAATTATTTTCAAAAATGGCATCGAGTTTATCTGTATCGCCCTAATACGGATAAAATCGATGCCATTTTGCATTGCTCCACTTTTTCAAAAATGACATCGATTTTATTCGTACGAGGACGACCAGAGCAAGCTGCATCTTTGACATGAAAATTCCCCGACATACTTGAACCAACTACACGCCACCATAAACACGCTTGAACCAACTTTGTGCGCTACTCTTACTGACATTGCATTAGGTCCATAAACTTCGGAAATTTTTTTCGCGGCTTAAGTCGCATCTTCCCTTTTTTGTAATAAAACTTCAGAATGTATCGAATTTCTTCGTTAGATTCACTCATTTTGGCGGACAAAAAAACAATTGAAAAAGAAGGAAGTGTTTTTTACTTTTTATTTTTCTTTTTCTTAATGTCCTATATGTATTGATATATATATATATATATATATATATATATATATATATAGATATTATAAAGTTCACTGCTGAATATAAGCTCCCCATAGATTTCCTCATAGGGGGATGTTTGCCATAGTTGCCACACTTGGCAAGTGGGTTGGCAACCGCAGTAAATTTTTTATTTTCGGGCCATCTCCTGATTTGTTTCCTTCCCTAAGAATTCCTGAAACTAATTAAATTTTAGCGCTTATTCATATTACACTGTTTGTTCTATATCCTAGTTGGCGTGTCCTAGATTAATTTAATCTTTTACACATAGAAATTTATTGATATTATAAAACTATATCTGTTTATCGTAATTTACTTAAAATATCTTCTGGTAAAGTCATCACAGTCGTAGAGTAAGAAGCGGCGGCCAAACACGAAGATCGTTTCACCCACGATAAGGTCTCGCGGCGCGTAGTACTCCGTCACCTCATCTTCAGTAGTCTCCAATACAATGGACGGAAACGATACTGCGCAAATAATATGATTTAAGCGAGATACATTCACTCATATATACATTAAAGTTAAAGTTACAGCCTATATACTCGTACGTCCCACTTCTGAGCATATTCCTCCTCTCATTTCTAAGGGGGTTTACATTTGAGAGGAGACACATATACATAAAATACATATATTATAATATAAGAAATCACATTCGTGCCTATTATTTTTCACTCATCTGGAACAGGATTCACTGAACTATTCCGTTGCTTTGTGAAGCAGGCATTTTTGCAGTATTGAACCATTTTGTTATAGGATAGGGTGACAAACGAGCACACAGTCCACCTGTTAATAAGTGGTTGCTGTGGCCCATAGACATCTACATATATCCTCAATAAAGAGTTAAAATGCAGATGCGTTGTCACCCGTCAGGACTAAGATGGAATGCCTCTTTTCCAGTAAAAAGGGTCTCCGGTTCTCTACACTCACCATACGAAACACAGCAGTGTTAAGCTGCTATTTTACGCTAGTATTCTATGAGAGCGTGGTCCTTCCTCGGTCAAGCCGACCCATTCGTGCTACAACTATACTACTAATATAGCTGCAGCATGGGTCTACCACGTATAACCATTCTTGGGATATTTAAAGCCATAGTAATATCCTCATCTGGTAGTTTAAATGGCATTACAAATATTGCTACTTTTCGAATCGTGAATCCGTCTGTGATATTATTGTTTAAAAATCGGCATTTATGAAAAAAAAATACAAAAAATTGTAAGCAAAATAATAATAACAAATTAAAGTTACAGCCTATAAATGTCCCACTTCTGGGCATAGGCCTCCTCGCATTTCTAAAAGGGTTTTAGGAAGCGACTTTGAACGCAGGTTGATTTATTAACATGATTTAATTATTAAGTGTATTTTGAGTTATGATGAAAGTTTATTTTTGAATATTATATTGATTGACTAAATCTAAAAAATTTACCTTTTGATGTCCTCTATAGCTACAATATGCTTATAAATCACATTATTTATACTCGTAGTTTTACGTCTTAAATAACTGGTATAGTGGTAAAGATCTGTGAGCTCGTTTATTAGGTACGTTACTACTATATTTAAAAAAAAAACTGAACCAATAAGAATAAAAATTATGCTATTATAATTAATTTAGCAACATTATTTTCAAGCTTGAAATTTGTTTTTTGTTTAGTTGTTATTAGGAAGACACAGCTGCCCATCTCTCGGTTTGTTTCCCTCAACCGCGTATTACGATACCCACGGGACAATATGGGTTAGTGGATATTCTAACACCCCCACTACACGGTATATTATATAATTTACATTATATAATAAATTATTTTATATATTTTAATTCATTGATTATTTTTTGTATTTATTACGTTCACGCAAACTCAGCGACTACAAACCCCTTTCCTGGCTGTCAACCAACTTCAAAATTATTCAACATCCCTGAGAGCACAAGCATCACAAGTGTCATTTCGCTTTGAATTAATTACGATGTCTCTTCTTTCTATTTTTGAGTATTTCAGTTGAAAAGTACTCGCACTTTGTAAAAAATTTAAGCACATTTAAAATTACAATTAGAATAAATTTCTACGTTACTACGACATATTTACATACACAAATTGCACATGGCCAATCATCCAGATCCGGAATAATTATTTTAGGTCATAAGAATACTTCATACGGGATTCGAACCCGCAGCGCGCAGTATCTTACCATATAAGGAAAATTATTAAAACAGAAATTGAAGATCTAATAATTTCACATAAAAATGCCATGTAGCCTTATCCTTCAAACACTTATAGTTATGTTGTAAAACAGCGTTGTAGTACAAAAAAAATATTAAGCTAATCAATTTTGCATCCATTTTTATTTTAGATTTTTGTAAAATAACAAACCAAAAAGTTTTGAAACCTTTTTTATATTTTTTTATATTCCTTGATAATCAGCAAAAACCGTTTATTTTATCAGTTTTTCCATTTCTAAAAAAAATCTTGCATGTTTATCGGTAAGTGCTTGTGTGAACAAGCACTTACCGATAAACATGCAAGATTTTACAAATTTAGTACAAAACGCGAGTGCGGTGGAAGTAGCGAGCAAGCTGGCGACAATCGCGCGCGGCGCGCTCGCAGCCATATCAAACGTATGAAGTTGTTTATGTGTGTTCACGTCGAACTAGCGGCGGAGAGCGCGATTGACTTGCGGCTTCAGGTAATATCAAAAATTTTGCACTTGTCGCTACAAACGATCGACATTCAACCCAATGGACTCGCCTCGCATGATTATTACCCTCTGCCAGTTGTCTTTCTTTATTAACGTCATACACACCAATTCTACTTGACAAAATCTATGAAAGACTTGCGTTCGAACCGACTTTTTTACGTTCGCGATTCCGAACGATTTCGTCATAGATTTTATATGGACTCGCTGCGTTCCAGATTCCAAAACAGAATTCCGTATGTATGTGGCCGGCCTTAGTGAAATTTTATCACATTCGGTTCCATTCCAAATATTAGCCTTGTTAAACAGACAGACAAACACGCAGACGGTCAGTCAGACAGACAATTTTTTTTAATTTAATAATTACTAATGTTCTAATAGTCTAAGCGTAATAAAAACCAATTATTTGGATATTTTAGACAGACACTTCTCAATCATAATATAAATAAAATCTACTCTATAAATCTGTACACCACATACTATCAAAGTACTTTTTAAATAGAAATGCAGATAATATATATATAATAGTTTCTTTTTCATAAACATATTAATTTTGAGTTGTAAAAAAAAATCTTATTTAGTTTAAAGCGGAAACCTTACCAAATTTTGAAACGCAATAAAAAGTAGCAGATTCAAATATTAAAATACAGCACTTAATTTATAACAATTGTGTCGACTACCCAAATTAATTTCGTACTTACCAGGCTTCTCCTTCCATTTTTTCGGCAGTTTAGTTTTCTTCAACAGCATTGGAAATGGTTCTTTCCCACCTCTACCGTCATGAAGCTCCTGCATCAAAATTTAGTACAATGATTTAAATATATTCATCGCATCAATATGTTTTATAGCGGTTTTGAAATTGAAGCGCGCTCCACTCTCAGATACTGTTTAACGTTTAATATTCATAGCTTTTGAAATTTCACTGTTTTAGCGCTTTGATAAATTACGGCATAAATTTAATTTTTCATTAAAAGTTCAAAGGTCAAGTTTCATTTCATTTGGTAGGTTAATAATTTTAAGCCTAATGATATTTTTCACTTTTTACAATTAAAAACAAATAATACTCCTTTATTTTCATCATATTAATTAATATTATATAATCAAATACAGGTTTCTCTAGAGAAAATGTATCAAAAGAGGTTTATGAATGTGTGTGAAAGGAAAGGTTTATTTATTTGTTTAAGCTTTGTTACACAAAAATGTACAATGGCGGACTGAACGCCTTAAGCCTTGACGCGTTAAAGTGATTATTTCTAGAGTGTAGTACGCACTTTCTGCCTGGAATTCCATCTGGTTAGGTACGTGTTGTTTTATTATATTACCTATTACGGCAATAGGGTGCATGCACTGTTGTGTTTCGGCCTAACGGGTATATACGAGTATATATCATATTAGTATAATTATCAAACTGAGAGCATTTCATTCAAACTGTTAGGACTCAATGGTGACAAATCATCTGTAGCCTTCATTAAAAAAAAAACGGTGATATTTTTAATATCAAAAAGAATTACCTTTATGGCGATGGTATCGTCTTGCAGGAAGTAGAACAGCTTATATTCGCCAAGTTCACCATTCACCGAATCGCGATCATCCCACACCGCGTTAAAGCTGCAAGAAAAAAAAACAAATAATTTACTGGCGATGATGACAGTGTTTATAAATAATCTTCATCATCGCAACAGTATCATCGCCATCATTTCAGCCCATCACTTCCCACATCTCTTACCAGTTCGTCACTCCATCTAGCGGGGGGTCGCCTAACTCTGCGCTTAACAACTTTTCTTTTTAACATAAGTATGTATATTTTAAATTAATTCTAATTTCAGTATTTAATTATTTGCCTAAATTATTTTATTTTAACAGCATACAATATGTATATAACAGCTGATGATAGGAAATGTTCGCTAAACAATATTTTATACCTATGTGTAATAAAATCAAAACCAAGCAATAATGGGATTTTTGTTTTTAAATGTAATCATCAATCTCTTCCATCAAATAATTATTATAAAACACATTATTTTAGCTTAATTCCAGAGAGTAGTGATAACAAAATTACAAGGAAAAGGAAAAACCAGAACGAGTCCCATGAGCAAAGCTCAAGAGGATTTGTGCCTTTGATTTATTATCAAGCGCGACTGATCTGAATCAGTTTATCACGGCGGCACAAGAGGAGGAAAATATCACTTAGATAAATGATTCTTATATAAACTTTATGCCGAGATCATAAAATAGGCTTTATTTTCAACGATGCTTTCTTAAAAAATTTCTTCGGTAAATTAATTCAAAATACTTATTGCTTAGGACTAGAAAAAAAATCTTGCTACATTTTTAAATGTTATCCCCACGCTTGGTTTTTCTTTAAAGGCGTTTTAGATATATAAATTGCACACGGATAAGCATCCAGAATCTTGAGATTCCCGCAACAGTTATTTGAAGGCCAAACAAATACTTGTTTTGTCATAACCAAACCTTAGGGTATTGAGCTATTGAGCCGTGGAAATACACATCAATCACACAATGTGGAAATACATAGTTTCTTATGTTACATTAACTATAATATTACAAATAAAGATTATATATGACAGTGCGATTTGAACATTGAAATGTTAAAGTATTTATACATTTAAAATATTTTTTCCAAAATCTAGCTTCGACTAAGAATCATAACGCAGACGTGTTGTCATACGCTACGGACAAAGATGGATAGCCTCGTTAACAGTTAAAAGGGTCTCCGGTTCACGTCACTCACTATAAGAAATACTGCTGCATTATGCAATTTTACGCTGATTCTGTTTTTTTTTTTTTACTGAAGTGACAAACTAATTGCGCGGCAGCAACTAAGTACACTCGCAAATAACTTAATTAAGTGGGTTATACGAGGAGTCCGGTAGATTATTTTATAAAAGTACACTTTCACACATTATATTTTTATTGCCATAAGATCAACTCCTATAACAGTTGTAGCACGAACGGATCGGCTCGAACGGGCAAGAAACACGCTCTCACAGAATACCAGCGTAAAATATTCTAATTATAATTCAACGACTACTTACCATCAGGTGGACTGTGTTCTCGTTTGTTACCCTTGTCCTATATAAAAATTTACCATTGAGAACCGTGTGTGTCGCTAAAGTCGATCGACCCGTGCAAAATGTATTCAATGAAAAGTTTTCATTCATAATACAGCTATAAATTATCCAGTGCACAGTCCTACATAATTTATTAATTAATAACATTGAAAGATAAACAAAGCTAACAGTATTGTATAGTTTAACTAATAAGACACCGACAACAAATGGAGTACGTAATACAATTTATAATTTCATATTGCTCTCAAGAACATCAAAACATAGCTGTTTCTAGTTATGATTTGATTTAACATTACACGTACGAATTAATTACAGCCATTTAGTACGTACGAGTGTGTTTATAGTCGCACGTGTCACATCTCTAGAAACTGTCATGTCGCCTTTGCGCGTTAATTAAACGGAATAACGTGTTATAAATGTTATTCTAAACTAAGTTCATGAGGACATGGGCCTCTTTCGTTGCAGGAAGGATTTGCCTCAATCGTCACTCTTGGCAGGGGAATTGATGATGGCAGCACCAGGCGTCTCGCACTATTGACGCTTCTGGACGCTTCCACCCGTCGCCAGCCTGTACACTGCACGTGTGGTGTAGACGGGGTTTATACCGCTATCTATGGAAAGTCATATGATTTTACTGGCATTCCCCATAGTTACCTCTTATATCACCCACGAAACGAAATGGGAAATGGGGATGGCTTTTCTTACTATACCACCACATTTATTTTTTTAAACGTGGTAGAGCCATGCTGCAGATATATTAGTAGTATATTTGTAGCACGAATGGGTCGGCTCGACCGAAGAATGACCATGCTCTCACAGAATACCAGCGTAAAATAGCAGCTTAATACTGCTGTGTTTCGTATGGTGAGTGTAGAGAACCGGAGGGTTTTTGGTGGAAAAGAGGCATTCCATCTTGATCCTCACGGGTAACAACGCATCTTTATTTTGATTCGCAAACGAAGATAGAGGTAGATGTCTATGGGACACAGCAACCACTTACCATCGGGTGAACTGTGTGCTCGTTTGTCACCCTATCCTATAAAAAAAACATGGCTCTAAATATAAGCCAGTTTGTAATATCACGAAATACTGCTTAAACTATGCCAGTTCTTTTTTCACTGATGTAGGTAGTTTAGAAGATAGAACTTTTTTTGGTTTTTAAAATAAAAAATAAATGAGTAAAGTTTTTTAAATGTTATCGATATAAAATTATTTCGCGTGAAAGCTAAAATGGACCCTCTTTTGCCACAACGTTAATTTTTAAATTAACATCAAAATTAAAACATAGGCACCATATTAACTTAGACTAAGCACTTAGTGGAAGACTGCAATATATTATATTAAAGCTAAACTATCACAATTATTTATGGATCTTTAATATCTATAAGTCATATTATAACTTAATTCCCGTCAATTTTTCATAGATAAATGTAATTAGTCCGAGCTGCAGTTGTCTCTCTCAGTTGTCTAGCTCGGTCGTTCGGGCACAGCGCGACATCAATAGACATGTTCAAAAACCTTCTTTAAATATCTTGCTGCGCGAATATCCACTTAGTCTCATCTAATCAGAATGTAGAGTACTGCACGGTGCGGCAATAAAAGCTCATACTTAAATATACCTTTTTAATGGAAAGACCATCCCTTATTCATAGAATAAAGTTAAGCCAAATAACTCTGTTTCATATTAAAACTGCGATTCTTTCTTTAGGGATAGTTCCTATCACAAGGATCCACTTTCGGTGATTAATCTCTTAAAAAGCCTAAGAGATTAATTATAAAAAATCAAAAAGTTTTCTGTAAGTTTATGCGACACTCGAACATCAAGATTTTTGTTACTTATATCCCGACTATTTTAATGGGTCAAACCTTTTTGTGATCAAACCCTAATCTCAACGTTGTAATTACTGACGTGTCCATTTTGCTTTACCTTTTCACAAATGATATCGATTTTATCTATAACACACCGGCCGGAGCGAGCTTTAAGTACTTATTACGTTAAAAGTTCCAAACCGAAACCGTTAGATCGGCTCAATTGTTTATTTCTTTTTGCTTCTTTTGTCTATATTTATTGAGTTCATATATTTTTTGCGATATATGAATGTTTGTGCTTCTTAAAATACATAGAGTTTTAAGTTGATATTTGACAAACACGACGGATCCAACTAGACTGGGCAGAGTTCATAAGATTACGACAAATATTCTCGTTACTCTTACGATTGTGGGATACGTATCCCACAATACTTTAAAACAAGAGTGTACAAAGAGTGCGTGTTGCCAGTGATAACACAGTATTAGGGATCTAAGGCGTGGATCCCTAATACTGTGACGCTGACCGTATGAGAAAGTGCAAGGTCGACAACCGATGGCGAAGATAGGTTCTTCAGTGAGCGGTAAGCGAAGTGTAATAGCAAATTCTAATTGTATCAAAACTACCGAATACACTTAGGTAGTTTTGATACTTTTAGAACATTTAATTAGTTATTGGTTAATATGAAAGCTATTTTCTGCGACCTATTATTTATTTTGGTTTTTATTATTATATTTTGGTTATAACTTCATGGCTTAGCTTCAAGCTCAGACTTCACGTCTTAATAAGATCTATTTCTACTACTATACTACGCTACTGTGTTTCGTGTGGTGAGTGTAGAGAACCGAAGACCCGTTTTACTGGAAACGAGGCATTTCATCATAGTCCTCACGGGTGACAATGCATCTGCATTTTGATTCGTAGGCGAGGATACATGTAGATGTCTAAGGGCCACAGCAACTACTTACCATCAGGTGGACTGTGTGCTCGTTTATCACTCATTATATAAAAAAAAAATTTTTGTCCTCTGAATAAGACGCCTCGTTGCAGAAAAGGAAAGATTATTATTACAATACTTTATACGATAGAATACTCGAAAGAATATCTTACATAATTTATTCACGCAATCACACATACAGTTACAACAAGCAGGAGTGTAACAAGGCCTGTGCTGACGCATCGGCGTCCCGGGATTCAAACACTAGCGCACTCAAAAAGAAGTACAACTCTGCCTCGGGGTCCTTCAAAAGAGTTATCGCTAGGGCAAAGTTGCAGCATATTATGAGAATTGGCGAGAAACTAGTTCGCCTTCCTTCAAGGCAATTTCTGTAAACCATCAGTACCATCTTTGCGCAGGGAGGATGATTCAATGGCCAAATGGTCTCTAAACGACAAGGGGAATCTACCGGCGACCATCCTGCAGTGTGAATGCTCCACGCAGTATGTTCGGTTCACACAGTGCTCAGTGCGTAAAGCACTACTCTCCCTGGACATCCATAAGTCAAGTGGGCCTGATGGAATCCCCTCAATTGTACTGAAGACTTGGCAACTTGACTCCAGAGTTGGCACCTGTTCTTACGCATCTTTTCCGGTTCTCTTACTCTTTAGGTATCGTTCCAGACTCACGGAAAGGTAACCGATCAGATCCGTCCGACTACAGGCCTATTGCCATCACCTCCTTTTCCTCCAAAATAATGGAATACATTATGAACTACCAGCTCATGAGGCAACTTGAAGAGCATCAGTTGATTAGTGATCGTCGATACGATTTCCGTCGAGGTCGCTCAGCTGGTGATCTTCTAGCTTACCTAACTCATATATAGACGGAGGCAGTAGAGTCCAAAGGACATTTAGTTTGGCAGTTAGTTTGGACGTTACGAAGGTCTTCGATCGGGTTCTGCACAAAGCGCTTCATTCGAAGCTTCCTATCTAGAGAAATTGTGCAACAGTTTTCTTGCAGATCGGAGCATCAAGGTCCTATTAGACGGTGCATGAAACGATTACAAGCCTATTGACGCTTGTGCATCACGAGGCTGCGCGCTATCACCAACGAGGTTCCTTCTGCATATCAATAAACCTAGCAAGCTAACAGCATAGCAAAGTGGCGAAGCAATCAGCTTTGTAGCGGTTTCTAACGGTTGCCGTTGAGCAATCAGTTTCAAAATAGGAGGTTCAGATGCCTGGGTGATCAGTAATCGATGGCTGAAAACAGAATTTGAAAATTCGAAACCGTTCTCGAGATAATCGTGGGACAGACGGACAGACGGACAGACGGACAGACATCGTGAAATCAATAAGTGACTTCGCAAGCTTCGCCACTTAATAATATGTTGCAAACCGGTAACATTCCTTGCTATACAGACGACAGCACTGGTGATGCTTTATACAGCGGCCGTGCTAATATTTTTCGGGAAACGTCGTCGTGTGCCAGAGCAAACTTGTGTCTAAAGTCGAGTCTTTGTTGAACAAAGTCTCGGCTTGGAGGCGACTAAATCTTGTCCAGTTTAACCCCCAATAGACACAAGTTTGCGCGTTTACTACTAAAAAGAATCCCTTTTGTCGTGTCTCTTTAATTTCGGGGCACTCACGCCATTGCCTCAGGCAGCAATGGCATGACTTTGTTAACAATATTAATAACGAGCAAGCTTTCTTTACTTTCGAGGACTAAATTAACAATTACAAATTAATTTTAAACTCCAAAATAATCTCACTTAATTTATAAGCATAGTGAGCATGGTTGCAGTCACTTACAGCGATAAATTTTCAATACTGTAAAAAAGGAAAATAAAAATTTAAAAATGGAAGTAGAGTAAATTAATGCTGTATTAGGATTAAAAGACTTGAAAACTGGGATAATGGTAAAGTGTAGAATATAAAAAACTCCGTGAGTAAATTATGTTATTGCAGCATTTCGTTGAACGTTGGCATCCCCCAAGTATTCAGATAACTATCCATTTTTCTACAAATTAAATTGAAATAAAATTACGATTGTCAGAATTTGGTCAGCATTTAACATAAAAGAAGTTGTAAAAGAAGTAATAATAATTAGAGTTTTTGTAATAGATAAAGACTGGCTGATTTTGTAAGTCATAAGCGAAAAAAGTCAAAGTCGGTGAACATCATCATTATCGTCATAATTAATAATAATGTCGTCGATGCTGTTCAAAATAAGTATGAACACTAACAAAAGACTTACAATAACTCAGTGCAGGAGATAAATTCTACGAAAAATAGATTTCGAAACAATAATGAGCTAATGTAATGGCGTAGATTATTACAGCAATTCATTAAGAAAATTTGATAAGTAATCAGAATTTAAGAATATAAATAAAAGATTGAGGTACTGAGACCATCAGTCCATTTGTAAAACGGGAATCATTATGAAAACTTGTTATTCCGTCCTCATCAGCTCGTAAAAGTACACTACTGCATGTGGGTATATCTTGTTGCAGGGATGATTTGAATAGATCTCGCACTTTTGACGCTATTCCTTGTCATCATATACAGCTGTCGATTGGAATCATTCTGGAATTTGAATCTTTCTGATTTGTTAAAATGGGGTAATGGATTATCCTTGCCTCAACCATACTGCAATTTTTATTTAAATTCACAGAGTTCTATGCTCTGCAAAGAACCCTCCCCCCCAACACCCTCTCACGGTGTTTTTAACAAATCTGATTTTCACTCATAATTACAATGCGTGAATGAAAAAAATCTATAGTTTTTTTTCATTCACGCATTGTAAGTTCAATTGTTTGTTCAAGCCTTACCTTTTCACTTTTGCTTTTCTATTTCATCGTTAGCTGGTTAAAGTCCACTACTGGAAATAGGCCTCATATTTGCTATTGCTTTTATTTGTAGTGTAATCATTATACATTCTTAAAATATTTCTATTTTTACCTATTTAATATTTTCTGTAACGTTGCAAAATTGAATTTTCAGAAATATTTTTAAAATCTTATTAAAAAAAATTTTTAATTGCTTTATAACATTTCAATGTATAAACGTATAAAAAGGTACTTTTATTTGATATAATCAATTTTGATAAAGAACTCGAATATCTCGTTTTTGTTTGTAAATAAATACTAAATTTGAAATAATAGACTTTAGAATACCACAAAACTTGGTTTAATAAACTTGTTACAATTTAGAATAAATAGTTATATTTGGTTATGTGCTAAGAATTTGAGGGTCGAAAGCTCGGAAGGTAAAATTACGAAATGTGTAGCCGTTGGCTATAACATTGACGATATATTACGAAAACGAAATGCGTAAACGTAAACGTCTAACGAAACGACCAAAGTCTGCCAATCGTAATTTAAGTCAATTCATTTTATATAATTTGTAGAAAAATGGATAGTTATCTGAATACTTGGGGGATGTCAACGTTCAGATATACTTATTCATATGAAATGCTGTAATAACATAATTTACTCAGAGTTTTTTATATTCTACACTTTATCCCACATTTTATCAAGCAACCCAGTTCTCTCATCTTTTAATCCTTATACATCATAAACTTACTTATGTCCATTTTCAATATTTACTTTTCCTTCTCCTGTAAGCATTGAAAATTTATCGCCCCAAGTGACTGGTTCCCATTCTTGCTATGCTTATAAATTAAGTGAGATTATTTTAGAGTTTAACATTAATTTGTAATTGATAATTTAATTCACGGAATTTAAGAAAAAACTTGCGTTTTTCAATACTGTCAAGAAAGTCATTCCATTCAGCTTAAATAACCTTCGAAAATAAGGCGTGCTTATTTGAAAATAAATTAATAGTAAAAAAAAATTAGACAAGCTTTTATTAAAATGCTCAAAAAAAATAGATAATAAGCTTTAAATTAAATAAAAACCCGTCAATTTATTACATTAAACAATTTATATGATATAAAAGCTTGCCGCGAGATTTATCTCTTTTACAAAAGCATTGTTTTTTTCTTACAATTATCTACTTATGTCAATATAATTTTTCCATCCATCTTTGGGAGTCCTCCATATTGGATTTACGTCATTGTATTTACGTATTTGACGTCATTTTATTTTTGTATATATTTCTTCTCAGCAAACCCTTTCATTTGACACCCATATCATGGAAGTCCATAGAAAATAACTAGACCACCATCCGTCCATAAGCCGTCCGCCATATTGGATCAAGTATGACGTCACTAACCATGCATTGTTATCTAAACTAAACATGTGTGCAAAATGATTTCTTATATTTACGCGAACACTACACATTGAATAAAACTATTTTATTTTTTACGAACTTCATCGCGTTTAATTTACTATTTTAATTCCCGACGTTTCGGGTGCTTTAGAGCAACCCATGATCACGGGGGGGGGGGGGGACCATGGGTTGCTGTAAAGCTTTAAAATAGTAAATGAAAGGCGATAAAATCCATAAAAAGAAAAAAATACTTTTATTCAATGTGTACAAAATTTCAGCTAAATCGGTGGTGGATAACTGCTTTAAAATTCAGTTGCAAGATTTGAGCCTAACAAACATACATTGCAAGTTAAATAAAAGGTTCTAACAAAAAAGCCTTTAAAAAGTAGATGTTATCATATTACTCGTTTAAATGAGGTACAATAAATTCCGTTGGTTCTTTGTCCGCCAATCTGCTTTAACGCCGCAATTGTCTAACAAATTGCCTCCCGTTTTAGGCGACAAATCTTTCCAGCTATCGGAAAAGGTTGTGAAAAGCACTTTTATGAAAACCTTGAATTTTTTTCTTTGTTTCGTTAAATCTCAAAGTTAGTTAATGTTACAACCTATATACGTCCCGCTGCTGAGCACAGGCCTCCTCTCATTTCTTAGAGGGCTTTAGGGCAAGGAAATATCTGCCGCGCTGCCCCAATGCATGATGGCGAACTATCTTTGTTCCTGTCTTTGAAATATTTTTTCTTATTTCTCAGACATGCAGGTTTCCTAACAAGGCTAGGATCGAACACGGGTCGCGTGAACTGTGTTGAACTGTACTTTGATATTTACAGCGGGTACTTAGCCCCTAAGCTACCATGGTTTTTAAGTTAAATCTTAAAATAAATGTATTAATTTCAAATCAGACTTACGCAAGAACTTTTCCATCGTATTCTAGAAAACGTCGAAGGGGGTCGTCGAAAGATTTCATCCGCTTCGGCGGCTGCACTGATTTCCATCGTTCTTTTTCTGTGTATGGATCTATCGGCAATTCTTCTTCCTTCGACAATTCTATTCCTTGAGACTCCAACCATTCCTAAAGAACATAAAGTACTCCGTAAGTTAGTTTATAACCCGTTTAATTTTATTATCATTTTTAAACAATATCCTTGTAATATTATCGTAGATTCTTGAAATAAACATTTCTAGCCCCTTTTTTCTTTACCTACTCATGTCACTAGATGCGTGTATATCACTTCTAACAGAAAAATAATATACTCTATGTAATGGACCCTTTTCTATCATCCTACGACCTATTTTTGCTGCCAATCAACACTGCATCTGCTGCTGTGTTCCGGTTTTACGGTTAAGAGAGTCAGTATATTTAGATTTTATAGAAACCTAGTGAAACCTTCTTGTTTGAAATTTGTTGCAGATATACACCGGCTGAAGCAGCCACTAATCGACACTTTGTGTGATTACTTTACTACAACAACTTTTACACTTAACTTTTTATGAAAAATGGAGGAAATGACGCCCATCGCTCAATACGTACATAGAAGAACGATATTGCTACCACATACAATCGCCGTTCTGTCTTCATATGGGCCAGAGCATCAGGTGGACTGTGCACTTATTTGTCATCTTTATTCTATAAAAAAACACTAAGCTGCTATTTTACGCTGGTATTCTAATTACGATTATAATATACCTGCAGCATGACTCTACCGCGTATACTCTACCATGGCTCTGCCGCGTTATACATCTATTATTTTTGTTATTACATAAATAACGCTATCTCCACAATAGGATTTCCTCCTGTAGGGAGTCCTTTTTAAGTAATACATACATTAATTGCACACGCCAAAAATTTTAACTCGTAACAAATATTTGTAGAACATACAAATACCTTGTTCCGTGAAAAAATACCTTGGTACCTACAAGCTTCGTTAATGTGGTTATTTCAATCAACGTCGATTTTCATCGGATAATTCTATATAGTAATTTTTAGAAGTGTTTTTTTTTTTTGCTTACTTTTTTGTTTGTGGTTGATTTATGTTGGCTTATATTAATTATCAGTTTTCCGATAATTTGGAAGTAATATTTTTAGACTACACATAAAAACACTATATAAATTATACCTAACATTTTTACAATACAACCGTAGATAGTAACATAAATATAATCTCGTTGATTACGATAGTTTAATATGGAGTTGATGCCAAGGCCTCCGTGGCGCAATCGGCTAGCGCGTTCGGCTGTTAACCGAAAGGTTGGTGGTTCGAGCCCACCCGGGGGCGCAATCAATTTTTATCAAAATTGATAAGTGGTGTTACTTGCTCGTAAAATATATTCAACTAGTTTTCGCGATTATTGGTAACACATTTTGATAACCCACAATATCATTTAACGTAATATTTTTAGGTGGCTAACAACAAATATTTTTTGTTAAAATTTTCTATAACCATATTATAAAGTTATACAAAAAATCTTATAATTATTATACAGGAATCTTTTATAAAATATTATAGTTTAAACTGCTTAGGGCTTATTAAAAAATAAAGTGTCGAGCGAGTTCTTACTATATGCAGTAATGACGTCATGAAACTTGCAGAGTTAGTCTATTGGATCATAACAATAAAACAGGATTGACTTAATGATAATGACAGCTCTAGAAGCCATTTTATTTTACTAGAAAATTACTGAATTTAAATTAAGCTATTTTAGACAATAAAGAAGCCTTAGATAGCTTTAGATTTTCTTTAAGATATTCTAAGGTCATCCTTATTAAATGTATAAGTATAGTATGTATTGCGTCTTTAAACCTAAACATCATTTTCTGCATTCATAACATATCGAGTATAGCTCAATGTCACCAATATGGAGCAAGGTTTTGGCTATCTACTCTTTGCTATCTACTAGCAAGGTTTTTTATTTTTTATCACCCGTCAGCCTTTGAGATATTTTTAGGGCATTCACACAGTACACATATATTGGCCGTCTCATTTTGTGAAGTTCTTGGCAATTCCACTACGTACTTTGCCAATGTTAACAGTGAATGCTTATGCTAATATTATTTAAAGTTTAATTACTACATATTCTTGGTATTTTGAATTGAAGTTTGCAGTTTACACATTAATACACTAAAACTAACTTTGTGTTAGTAATTACATCTTAATTTTTAGAGCTATAGGGTTATAAGAAAAATGTATCTAATGTCAAATACTATTTATTCTGTGCTAATGTCAAGAAAAATACACTTCTCGTCGTAAAAAGAGTTAAAGTAATCGTATTTATTATTCTTGAAAGGTAAATCAAACTCGTCACAGTAAATAAATGTTTGATAATGATATTTGCAAAGGCACGAAAGAGATTTCCTATTATTAACATTTTCCCTTTATTGTATTTGTTTAAAATTACTAGATTCTTAATCTTCTTGATTATTATTTCAAAATTTGTTTATTATTTTGTTTATTGAATTGCAAATTGGCTTTTCATGAATTCTGTATTTATCTATCTATTTATGCAACGATATATTAGGACTTAATTAACATGAAACCGATAGGTACCGATGTAATATATAAAAACCAAAGAACATTTATTTATATATCATAATAAGTAAGTTAAACTTACTTGAAATTCGGTATTCTTTGTTCCAGAATAGAGACTTTCTAAATTACTCAAAATTTTTGTCTGTTTGTCTGTCTGTCCGGCCTAATCTTCGGAATGGCTAAACGGCGATTGTGAAGAAACAATAGATAGCAATGCCAGAAGTGATCTAAGCAATATTTTATCCGATAAACTTTTGTGTGATGGAAAAATTGATAAAATCAATGGTTGTTGATTATTCTAAAAAATCTTAACTAATAGATCCCACCCAAGCGAAGCCACTATTATATAATCCTAACCCCTAACAACTGATGGCGGTTAGTATAAAAGATACTTAGTCACCATAAACTCGGACGAGCAGCCATCGACGATGACTCGGAGAGACCGTTCACTCAGAAAGTCCTTCGCGCATTCAATCAAACCTGTGGATAAGCCGTAAGTACCCTGTTCCCCAAAAGGCTACCGTACCAAACCCTGTTAAATACCTTAGAGATATCAAGAGAAACTGCAAGTGCTCCCCAAATGTTCTCGAAGGCCCCGCTAAGTATAAGTTGACAGATTTCGGAGAAAACTATACTGGCATTCACTGAGGAGGTTATTCTGTTCTAGATATGTCATGTTCTAGATGTGTATGGTGTTCAATATACGTTCTATAATTTTGCAGAGTATGGAGATAGTGAAAAAATAAATACCAACCGATATGCATATTATATCACCTTTATAACTCCCTGAAGCAATAAAGTTGTGAGGGCCGATAATATTTTCCCAGAGGAGACAAATATATAATATATGTTTAAAAAAGTATTTTAGTTTTTTCACAAACGTTGTCCGGTGTAGTTCGAGAATATCCATACTATTTTTCTTAGCCAAATTAACTAAAACCCTTATTATGGAGACATCGGGGCTTAGGTTTACACGTGGTAGAGCCATGTTGCTGCTATATTAATTGTATAGTTGTAGCATGAATGGGTCGGCTCGATCGGGGAAGGGCCACGCTCTCACAGAACACCAACGTAACATAGCAGCCTAATGCTGCTGTGTTTGTATGGTGAGTGTAGAGAACCAGCGACCCTTTTTACTGGAAAAGATTCATCTTTGTCCTCACAGCTGACAGCGCATCTGCATTAATTTGATTCGCAAACGAGAACAGATGTAGATGTCTATGGGCCACAGTAACCACTTACCATCAGATCGACTGTGTGCTCGCTTTTCATCTTTACCATTTTAAAAAATAGGTTCCTAATCTCCTTTCTTTAATCCGGCATCAACTTCAATTTTCCAATTTTAGTCCCATCCGAAGAGATCGTGATCCTTGGCGATTTTAACGCCCACCACGCCGAATAGCTCGGTTCACGTTTAACCGATCATGCGGGGAGATCTGTTCATGACATTGCCTTGGCATATGGTCTGACACAACTGGTTACTTCACCTACGCGGATTCCAGATGTAGAGGATCATAAACCTTCCCTGTTGGACCTTCTGCTGGCCTCTCATCCGGACGGATATCAGGTTTCCGTCGATGCCACCCTCGGCTCTTCGGACCATTGTCTGATCCGGAGTGTGGTGCCACTCCACTCACGCTCCCCTCGCAGTTGCATTTTGCAGGTTGCCGCCGTGTTTGGCATTATAGGTCGGCGGATTGGGACGGAATGATGTCTTTCTTTGCATCCAACCCATGGGGGCGGGTTAGCTTCTTGCCGGATGATCCCAGCGCTGTTTCTGACTCTGTCACTGATGTGGTGCTACATGGAATGGAACTATTTATTCCATCATCTGTGGTACCCGTCGGAGGCAGATCTCAGTCTTGGTTTGGTCGCTCCTGTAAGACTACATTACGCAGTAAGCAGGAGTGTTATCAGGCCTGGGCTGAGGCTTCGGCGGCTCGGTATGTACACACCAGCATGCTTAAAAAGAAGTGTAAATTCGCCTTCAGGTCCTTCAAAAGAGTTATTGCCAAGGTAAATTCAGAGCACATAGGCAGAATTAGCAAGAAACTAGTTCGCCTTCCTTCGGGTACCTGTGCATTCTGGGCTCTCACCAAGGCTGTCCAAGGGAATTTCTGTAAGCCATCACTACCATCTCTGCGCAGGGAGGACGACTCACTAGCCCATGCCGCAAAAGAGAAACGCGACCTTTTAGGCTCCCTTTTTGCGTCCAACTCGACCCGCGGTATGAGTGCTCCATGTCAGATGTACGGTTCTCACAGCACTCGGTTCGCAAAGCACTCCTCTCCCTGGACATCCACAAGTCGAGTGGGCTGACGGAATCTCCCTAATTGTGCTGAGAACGTGTACTCCAGAGTTGGCACCGGTTCTAACGCGTCTTTTCCGGTACTCTTACTCCCTAGACGTAGTCCCGAAATCATGGAAGACAGTTTTTGTCCACACAAGCCCTAAATAAGGCGACTGCTCAGACCCGTCCAACTAGAGCCCTATCGCCATCACCTCCTTGTTCTCCAAATAATGGGATCCATTATAAACTGCCAGC